CCGGCCACGTCAGCCTCGACCTGCTGGGCTCCGGTGATCCTTCTGCCTCAGCCTTCCAAGAAGCTGGAACTACAGGCGCGTGCTACCATACCCAGCTAATTTTTTGATTTATTGTAGAGATGAGGTCTCACCAAGTTGCCCAGGCGGGTTTCAAACCCGTGGTCTCAGGCAATCCACACACCTCAGCCTCCCAAGGCGCGAGATTACAGACTGAGCCACTGAGCCCGGCTCTAATTCTTTCTTTATCATTAGAGTTCCATTAAAACATGCACAATCACCATGAATTCTTCCTCAGTGTTACTTCTGACTGCTCAATTGCTGATATCTACAGATAATGTGTTACTAAGAAACTGTTTCCTGTTTTCGTGAGACACTCTGTAAAAGCTCCAAAGGTGTTGCTCATGCAGAATCTTCCTCTAGAGATTTTGTTAGATTTAAGTAAAAAATTTATTTACCGTGCTCAATCCAAGCATAGAAAATTAGAAAAGGATTTCCTTGTCAATGTGATGGTTAGGTGTAATTGGCAACTTACAAATTATACTTTGGGGTGACTTGATACCGTCTGCACTCAAGATTATTCTCCATAGTGCTTTCTTCCAAAGTATTTGTATTTTATTTTATTTGAGTTGGAATCTCACTCCAGCACCCAAGCTGGAGTGCAGTGGCACGCTCATGGCCACCCCAGCATCAACCTGCTGGACTCTGGCGATCCTTCTGCCTCAGCCTTCCAAGTAGCTGGAACTATAGGCACAGCTACCACACCTGGCTAATTTTTTTAGTGTAGAAATGTAGGCTCAGGTAATCCCCTCACCTCAGCCTCCCAAAGTGCTGGGATTACAGGCTTGAGCCACCATGTTTCTGTTTTGAAGCCTACTTTTTCTTACATAGTCACCTTTGCAGCTTGAAGGCTAACAAATGAATGAAAATAAACAAACCACAGAAAAATGTGACTTGCAACATTCAGATCATTGTATGTTCTATAATGCAGTGAATGCATCAGATAACTTCCAATCTTGATTTCTTTTAAAGCACAATGTGGAAGTTCTTGGAATACTTTCCGATGATGTAGAAACTGATACTGTAGCCCCAGGTGAAAACCTCAAAATTAGACTGAAAGGCATTGAAGAAGAGGAGATTCTTCCAGGATTCATACTTTGTGATCCTAATAATCTTTGTCATTCTGGACGCACATTTGATGCCCAGGTAAACAAGTTATTGTAGTTTTCTTAGTGATTTTTTAATGTCTAAATGATATTAGAATTTTAATGCTTTTTGTCGTGATTATTGATGACATGCATGCAACCCATATTAGTACATAGAAGGGGAATTGAAATTGTATTAACCATTTATATGTCACAGCTATGTGTATGTATCTCAGATAGTAAGGCCTTCAAGATTGTACAAGTGCTTACTGACCAGAGACTATTCTTTGTTAATTTCCTTATTTTTGATCGATTGTTGATAAATTTTAGAATATTTAATATTGAGCATTGTTGCCTTGGAAGTCATGGTTTGTATGCTCATTCAGAGTAAATAACTTTCTAGACAGGAAATAACACACGGTTATTTCCAACCAGACCTCCCTTTGAGAATGACAGAGTAAATGATTGGTCAGGCTAAACAGAATTTTTGAGTTATGTTATCAGGTATGATGACTAATCAAGTTAGATTTTAATGCCAGATGTAAGGTTATTTGCCTTTACTGAACCTTGGTTATTGAGAAATGGATAAAGCTATGGTAAGTTCACATCTAGGTAGCTTGTGAGCTGTAATGTTTAGTTTAATTCCCTGGGGAATATACGGAAAGACTTCCCAGGGAAGAAAGTCTGCCTGCTGTGTTTTTTTTGTTTGTTTTGTTTTGTTTGAGTCGGAGCCTCACTCTGTCACCCAGGCTGGAGCGCAGTGGCATACTCACAACCACCACAGCACTTCAGCCTTTCAAGTAGCTGGAACTATAGGCGCGTGCCACCACACCCAGCTAATTTTTTTATTTATTGTAGAGACAAGGTCTCGCCAGATTGTCCAGGCTGGTCTCGAACCCCTGGGCTCAGGCAGTCCTCTCGCCTTGGCCTCCCAAAGTGCTGGGATTACAGGCGTGAGCCCCTGCGCCCAGCCTGCTGTGGCTTTGGTTTTTGTTTTGTTTTGTTTTTGAGTCAGAGTCTTACTGTTGTCCAGGCTGGAGTGCAGTGGCACACTCATGGCCGCCATAGCCTCGACCTGCTGGTCTCAGGTGATCCTTCTGCCTCAGCCTTCCGAGTAGCTGAAACTACAGGCATATACCATCACACCTAGCTAATTTTTCTTGATTTATTATAGAGATGAGGTCTCGCCAAGTTGCCCAGGCTGGTCTTGTACTCGTGGGCTCAAGTAAATCTCTTACCTCGGCCTCCCAAAGTACTGGGATAGGTGTAAGCCACTGCTGTGTTTTTTTGTTTGTTTGTTTGTTTTGGTTTGTTTTTTTTTTTGAGTTAGAGTCTCACTTGGTCGTCCAGACTGGAGTGCAGTGGCCGCTCTCGGCCACCGCAGCCTCGACCTGCTGGGCTCCGGCGATCCTTCCGCCTCAGCCTTCCAAGTAGCCGGAATTACAGGCATGCGCTACCATGCCCGGCTGATTTTTTTTTTTGATTTATTGTAGAGATGAAGTCTCGCTGCCTAGGCGGGTCTCGAACCCGTGCGCTCAGGCAATCCACTCACTTCAGCCTCCCAAAGGCGTGGGATTACAGGCTGAGCCACCGAGCCCGGCACTGCTGTGTTTTTAAAGTTGACCAGGCTCTTGGCAAAAGGAGATGAGTAGGGTATGGGATATTGAAATTCATGCTTGGAGGGTAGGCGGCCTGACCCATCCTGTGAACAGAATGAATAAGACAGAGCTACTACTTCCAATACAAAAATAATTTGACTTGGTGTCCTCCTGAGGTGGTGCATTATACTGATTTTTTGGTTTTATATGGCACTTGAGAACATGCTGTTCTATTTTACCCTAAGGATAAAGATAAGAATTTTGTTTGTTTGACAGATAGTGATTATAGAGCACAAATCCATCATCTGCCCAGGGTATAATGCGGTGCTGCACATTCACACCTGTATTGAGGAAGTCGAAATAACAGTGAGTTTGTTTTAAGATCGTTCATTTGTTTATTAGGTTTTAAGATTATCTTGATAATTTCTGATCGTCAACTTTTCTTTGTACTCCTGTTCTTAAAGATTCTTGTAATTGGCATTATTCTTATCTTCTTTTTTCTTGGTTAGGCCTTAATCTGCTTAGTGGACAAAAAATCAGGAGAAAAAAGTAAGACTCGACCCCGTTTTGTGAAACAAGATCAAGTGTGCATTGCTCGCTTAAGGACAGCAGGAACCATCTGCCTCGAGACCTTCAAAGACTTCCCTCAGATGGGTCGTTTTACCCTAAGAGATGAGGGTAAGAGCTTTTAAATTTATATCTAGTCGTATTCTAGGATGTCTAGTTTGGACAATCATCTCAGTATAGTGCACATTGCAGCAGGTTCACTGAAAACTTGGATCGTATTCTGTAATATATTCATCTGAATGTTTTGTTAGTTGAACATACCGAACATCAGAACTATCTATGTACTTTTAGCAGTAATACTAAATTTAGTAATGCTCTACATGAAGGAAGAATCTTAATTTTGACATTTTGTGAGTAATGGGTTTGGAGAGTAATTGTGTTAAAGTAAGTTTTTTGTTTTTGAGTTGGAGTCTCACTCTGTTACCCAGGTTAGAGTACAGTGGCACTCTCATGGCCGCTGCAACCCTGGCCTGCTGGGCTTAGGCGATTCTTCCACCTCAGCCTTTCGAGTAGCTGGAACTATAGGCACATACCATCATGCCTGACTAATTTTTGATTTATTGTAGAGACGAGGTCTCGCCAAGCTGCCCAGATTGATCTCGAACCCTTGGGCTCAATCCATCCTCTCGCCTCTGCCTCCCAAAGTGCTGGGATTTACAGGCATATGCCACTGTACCCAGCTAAGACATTTCTATGATGAAATCCTTTGTAATATGTTTAGAGGATAAAGAAGATATGGAGATTGATTTTTTTTACACCTGATTTTTCAGCAAATGTTCTTTTCTGTGCATCAATTTCTGCCCACCTCTGGGTGATACAGAAAAACTGTGATCTTCCTGTCTTAGGGTCATGAAAGTCTTTAGTATGCAAACAAAATGACTGCTATGAAACATTCCTTATGGGTTGTTAATATTTCTAACTTAGATAACCATTTTAGGACTATGAAAAACTTTACATAAAATTTTATTGTTGAACTGAAATGTGGAATAGTCAGCTTATATGATAGTTTCAATTCCATTTAGCAAAACTTACTGTATATCTACTAAATGTCAGAACTGTGCAAAGCACTGGTGATGAAAACCATTCCTGAAGCTTCAGGAAAAAAACATTCTAAAGACAATGCTTGTTTTACTTTAATATTCTTATCTTAAAACTCTTCTTGTTGATAGTAAAACTGGTTATTGGGTATACCCTATTAATAGAACAAAATGATACTTATAGCTCCCAAACAACCTTGTAAAATTAGTCAGACAGAGGAAATAAACGTAGCAGGAAATTTTTAACTCCAGGTTTATTTTTTAACTAATTTGGCTCTTTGGTTTTTCACAAGACTCAATGGTCAGTGAGTTGTATTCAGCACTAATTGCTGCATCTTTTTTTTTTTTTGAGTTGGAGTTTCACTCTGTCACTGAGGCTGGAGTGCAGTGGCACGCTCACAGCTACCCCAGCATCCACTTGCTAGGCTTCAGCGATCCTTTTGCCTCAGCCTTCCATGTAGCTGGAACTATAGGCACACACTACCACGCCCAGCTAATTTTTGATATATTGTAAAGACGAGGTCTTGCCAAGTTGCCCAGATTGGTCTCGAGCCTGTAGGCTCAGGCAATCCACTCCCTCTTATTGAGGCTACCTAATCAGAAATCACAGGTTTGGCAGTAAAGCCAGTTAATTAGCAATTTACATTGTTAAAAAATTTTTATGATTTTAAAATAATAAATAACAAAGGTTTAATATCTTACATTGGCTTGCTGTGAACTACTGAAAGGTTTTTTTTTTTTTAATTTCATTTCCAGGTAAAACCATTGCAATTGGAAAAGTTCTGAAACTGGTTCCAGAGAAAGACTAAGCATTTCCTTTGATGACCCTGCACAATACTGTGAGGAGTACTGACTGCAAAAGCTTACTTCACACCGCCTTCTCTTATTTTCTGCCCATTGATAAACCTCTCCCCATATTTTGCAAAGAGAAAATTCACAGCAAAAGTCCACATTATGTCAGCTTTCTCATATTGAGAGCTCTGCTATGCCACTGTTGAATTTTTTCCAAGATTCTCCCACCCCTTTCAAACTCTGCTTCCTTGGACAGATTTGGCAATAGCTTTGTAAGTGATGTGGACATAATTGCCTAAAATAATGAAAACCTACAGGAATTTTTTTATTTTTCATGTTCCCCTTAGGCATATTTAGTATTTTTCCCCAGGCAGATCATTTTGAGTGTGCGAGTGTGTGTGCACATGTTACAAAGACAACTACCATGTTAATAAAATATTCCATTTGAAATCCTTTTCGGTATTTGAATTGCTTTTGAATAATGTTTTTTATCTGGATGTAACATTGTAGCATTAGCTTTTTAACTTTCCCAAGTAATTGAATACATTTTATTACTTGGTCTTTTCTAAACTCTTTCCCTATCCACTACTTTAAATGAGGCATTTACAAACAATGTTCAAGTTTATATTAAAGGAAAGGATTAGTTTGACCCCTTCTTTAGATGGTTAATGCATACATGCAAATAAACCCCTTTATCCAGCTATGACACTGCTTTACTAGGTCTTTCAGTTATTTTCTGCCAATTTATATTTTAACATGATTTCTTAAATATAGTATGTTGTTTTACAAGAACAGCATACTGTAGTTTTTATATAAGTAAAGCTTAATGAAATTGTACCCCTACAGAAAATTCCATTAACTTGATAAATTAGTGGAATTTACAATTAAGCAAGCATGTTGAGACCTGGCAAAAATGCCTCTTTTAGTGTTTATAAGAGCTGCATGCATCTAGTATGAAAACCTTATCAATTGCAAGTGCCAGTTTTACAAGGTACCCAGATGACACTTTGTATCATTGACTTTAAAGGTTGGATGTTTCTTGCTGGTTGAAGCTAAATTTCAACCCAGCTACTAAGTGAACACATTTAGGGTCATTAGAATCCGCACAGACTACAATTAACAGTGATAAGTAGAATCAAGCACAGTCTAAGTTTTATCTCACTTGTTTGAAATTGACTGAGTTTTCTTCAGTATGAAGCTGAGATTTGCTAGCCACGATATGGATATCCTGTGGCACAGCACTGTGGTGGTTTTTAGTTTTTAGATTGAAGGCTGACTTTCTGCTATAAGTGTCATGACTCTTAAATTTTTCATGAGATTAAGTGAGAAAAGGAAAACACCATTTCTGGGTTTATGAGAAGCCCCCTTGATGTTGAGTATTGCCATTTATCAAAGACTTGGCTTCTTTTAGATTGTGACATATCTCTAACTATGATACTTTGTTACTGTATATTTGATGACAGTTCCTTTCCCTGTAATCTTGCTCCTCAGAAAAGAAAAGCCTAGTTAGATTGTATTTTCCAGTCACAAAACATAGAATTTAATCTAATAGTGTTTTCTTCACTATGAAATTCCCATTTGTTTCATGAATGAGGCTGCTACATCTTGTGGACAGAGCAAAGCTACTGTCCTATAGCTTCTTATAACTATACTTATGGCTATTAAATTGCATGGAATTTAAATAAATTTTATTATGTCTGCAAATCTCTGGGCTTTTATTTTTCTGGGAAATATGAGAGCTTTCATCAACATAATAGTTATTTTTATATTTCCATGTTAACAAGAACAAATACTAGCAATTGCTTGGGTTTTAATGAATAAGTTCAAGAGTCACTGAAATTATTTCCAAAGATAAGAGTTCCCTTTTTAAATTGAACACATTTCTAAAAACCGTTGTTTGCTATTAAAACATTTACACTTAGAATATTCTGTGTATGTTGCCAAGACTCCTAAGGAAAACAACTTGGATATCAACTGTGAAGGACCTACCTCTAAAAAGAATAGGTAATAAGATACAAATGTCATTATAAAAATTCCATTGAATTCTTGCACATTTGCAAGATTAGATTATTCAAGAGAAATTTAAATGCAAAAGTTAACCAGCACCATGAATTTTATGGACTTTGAAATTCTTTGAGAAGTATTCCTGTTTAAAGTTGATAAATGTTAAACTCCTTTTTGCACTGGCTAGTCATTTGGATAAGGAAATAAAACATCTGAAGTGAACTGGCAGTGTGTGAAGATTTTGGACCTTTAAACAGCAATAAAATTCCCATGCTGTCATCCTGTCTTACACAAGCACAAACGTGTGTATATGGTCAACAATGCAAAAATAGGGTAGTTGGCTGCATAGTTAGGATATCACATACCTAAAACATTTCTATCTTTAACATATATTGGAATTATGATTTTCTTTTCACATTACTGATGTTCTTTATACAACTTTTCATGCTAGATTATTTAATTAGTTTTTTAAATAAGAAATGTCATTGAAATAAACATTTAAGTGACTGTCATTTTAAACCCTTATTTCTTACTGTGGCTTGAGAAGGGAAGATATAGCATTTCATTGTTGTCTTTAATTTGCAAAAAGAACTTACCCAGTGAAAATCTATGTAAAATCAAACCTAAAGAGTTGGACTGAGTGTATACTGTCACGAAATTAAGTGACCAATAGTAAAGTGTTACTGAATAATTAAGGCCATGTATTTTTTGTTTTGAATTTAAAATCTTGAAATATGTGGTAATTGAATGTTAAAAAACTTCATAGACTGTAAAAGTACAGGTTATTCATTGTAATAAGAGTTTAACTTGCTCATCTGCTGATTACATAAACTACAAAAACTGCTTTTATAATATGGGACTTTGAACTGTGCTGTAGTTGAACACTTACTGGCATCCTTTTAGCTAAAGTGCTGCAAATATTTTGGGTCATACTTGCAACCAGATGCAGTTTTGCAACCCAAGAAAAAGTTTAACCTTTGGCCAAAAACTGCTTCCAGGATGATCTTCAGGAACACTAGTTCTGACTGTAATTACTCGGTGACCTCTGACAACTATTTCCCATGACAGCACCCTTGCCCCTTTCCTTTCTGGCATGGACTTCCTCATGGATGATAACTCCATTGCTTTGGATAGGGATCTAAGGCAGTCAAGGGATCAGTACACAGTCTTTATTATGGCTCTTAACATCAGGCAACTCTGAACCTTTAAACCCTTTGTGAAAATTCTGGATACAGCACTGCAGCTCTGATTCTCAGATGGTTTAAATGTTATATTCAGTGTTGATCTGCCTTAGCAGAACAAACTGTGCCATTAATCCTCTCACAGACATACGTAAGGTAGATTGCAATCAGTTGGATTTGTAGGACAATTATGTCTCCAAACAATAAGACTTTTCTTTCCAGCTAACTTCTTTCAGTGGTTCTAGCAGATGCCATCTAATATATTCAGGATCTTGTTTCTTTCTTAGAGATCCTGCCATGGCAGCAACTTGTTAAATCAATGTAATTGTATATGCACAACTCAAAAGACTTACTAGGTTTAAATTTAGCAATCAGTTGGTTAGATTAGATCTCATAGTTAATGGAATAGGAAGTGTTATTTTCCAGTAGTCATTCAGTGGATTCCATTTGAACCAATTTACTGTCAGAATTCAGATAGGGTAGATTTGGTTCAACTTTTGATGGTTTGGGCTCTAGGATATTCTTGATTTTCAGTATCCTAGAACTTACTGAGTCTTCCCTTCAATAAATACACTTCTCACATACCTCTAATCCTATGCTTCCTTGAAACAGTAATATGCTAGCTGTTGTTTACTAAGGATTATTATAAGGGCCTGGAGCTGTGGGAGTGGCATAAAACCTTTATGTTCTCCAATAAAAGGGAAAAGCAGACTGGCACTTTGTCTGCTGAGGCAGAAAATACTAGAACTTCTTAAATGACCCTGAAAAGGCAATTCTTTTTTGCCTTGTCACATTTGCCACTGTGCCCATGAAAACGATGTGGAAACCTCAGGTTTGTGGACAGCGTGGGTGGAACAACATTCTGTACTTCCTGAGGCTCTTCTGCCAGCCACATTAGCTTAGTGCTTCTGACGTAAGCCCAAGTCCTTGCTACCTCCTTTTCCTGCTGCCCAGGAAGCGTGTGTGTGCTGGAGTTTGAGCTCTTGGCGCTGCTCAGGTGACTGTCCTCACCTCCATTTCCTCCACATGCATTAGGAGAAACTGAAGTCTGGGCCTGCAAGGTCTGCATTTCAAGGACTCACACACTGAACTCTCAGAGATGTACACATCTCTTAACTAGTTTCTTCTGTTTGTTCTAAAGGAAATGTGGTTATCTCAGGCCAGGATTTAGTGACTAGTTTTCACTAGACAGCAGGTTAATACCTAGATCTCTTTTTTAAAAAAAGAAAGAAAATATAGAAACAGGATTAAAGGGAACTGATGAGGTTTGCTGAGTTTTTTAGCCTAATTCCAAATCATGGAAAAGTGCTCTAAGTAGGAAAGAAACCTTTTTCTTATGATTTGTAGCTACCTACTGTGCCTGACTCGGTGCCTGTGTGAGGATTAAGCCCTTAGTCTGCTCTTTCAATTATTCAAATGACAAGTTAAACTTGCTTTTGTAATAACAATAAAAGTTGTCATCTTCCCTTTTGAAGGATTTGTCTGTTTGTTTGTAATAATCTGTGTAGTCACAACCCATGCCCTTTGCTGTACAAGCCTTTGTTTTTGTGTGAGGGATTAGCACCATCTACCAGCAGATTTGCTGGATGCATTTAGCAAGCTCTGTCACATAAGAGATTTGCCAACACGTCATCTGCTTAGATGTATATCACATGCAAGTCTCTACGGTGTTTATGACCTTACAAAACAACAGCAGCCCTACAGGAAGTTAGAGATGCCGAATGAGAAATATATCACAGTGTATGGTTTTCTATGAACAGTTGAGTTGGAGAAACATCAATTATGTCAGAACTATGAGCCGCCATATTCAGGGTTTTTAATAAAGGGCAAGAGACCAAATAGTGTTTATGTTTACCCTTTTTATTTAACATGCACGGGCAAAAGAAATTGATGATAAACAAAGGTCGTATACACGGTAGGTAAATGAATGGTAGCAATACATTCCTATGTGCTCATCTTTATCCAGTGAGCTAGAATGAGTTCCTGCCTATACTGTCTTCAGGTGATAGGAAACACTTTGAAGTTGTGGTCCTCAGTCTCTAGGTATTTGCCATTAAACTATTTCTAGCTTAAATAAAACTTAGGGGCAAGCTTGTTATTAAAGCAGGGATTCATATAAAAGTTCTAAATAAGTGAGTCAGGTGCAGTGGCTCATGCCTGTAATCCCAATACTTCGGGAGGCTGAGGTGGGTGGATTGCTTGAGCCCAGGTGTTCAAGACTAACTTGGCAACATGGTGAAATCCCATCTCTACAAAAAAATTTTAAAAATGAGCCAGGCATGGTGGCATGAGCCTGTAGTCCCAGTTACTCAGGAGGCTGAAGCAGAAGGCTTTTCTGAGCCAGAAGGTCGAGAATGTACTGAGCTGTGATGGTGCCACTGCACTCCAGCCTGGGCAACAGAGACCCCAACTCAAAAACAAGTTTGAATGACTTTTGTGACATCCCAGTAATTAACCACACTTTTCTACTCTTAACGACTAGGTATCCAACACTGTTCATCAAACAGATTTTTTGTTGAAAGAACAGCTTTCTTAAATGTCTTTGGGAACCACACTTGGGCACTGTACTGCCCAGGCAGAGGACTAACATGGAGGATTTTTATACTACATAGCACATGGAACCAGTTTCATAGACACAGGCACTCCATATCAATGCTCCCCAAAAGCAGAAAAGTGACATCAATACCTTGGGTGCTCTAGTGAAGAACTGCTTATCTCAAACCAAGGAACCTTAAAGTAGAATTTTTGTTGTTATTTATTTTTTGAGTTGGAGTCTCACTCAACTCCCACTCTTTCATGTCTCAAAACTTTAGCTTGTCACAAAAAGCCTGGGGAACCATCACACACCCTCAGAAGATCCTAAGTCAGCTGTTGTGTTGCTGCATGGTGCAATGCTGCAGGCCATTGGAAAAGATGAACTTGGCACAATTTCCAAAACATTAACAGGAAAAGTATGGTGAAGATTCCTTCTTCATGGCTCCTATTTGTGGGTTTTGTTTGTTTGTTTAGCAGAGTCAGGGTGTGTCGATGTCGCCCAGGCTGGAGTGCAGTGGCGAAATTTTAACTCACCGCAGCCACAGCCTCGACCTCCTGGACTCAGGTGATCCTCCTTAGTCTCCCTAGTAGCCAGGACTACAAGCACACACCACCACAACAGTCTAATTTTTTTTTGAGTCAGAGTCTCACTGTCTCCCAGGCTGGAGTGCAGTGGCCCACTTACTGCCACCGCAGCCTCGACCTGCTGGGCTCAGGCAATCCTTCCGTCTCAGCCTTCCAAGTAGCTGGAACTACAGGCACGTGCCACCACACCCGGCTAATTTATTTTTATTTTTATTTATTGTAGAGATGCGGTCTCGCCATGTTGCCCAGGCTGGTCTTGAACCCATGGGTTCAGGCAATCCTCTTGCCTCTCTCTCCCAAAGTGCTGGAATTACAGGCATGATCCACCGTGCCCAGCTTCACCCAGGTAATTTTTTGTAGAGATGAGGTCTCGCTGTGTTGTCCAGGCTGGTCTCGAACTCCTGGACTCAAGTGATCTCCCACCTTGGCCTCCCAAAGTGCTGGGATTACAGGCTTGAGCCACCGCGCCCGACCTTTGTGTTTTTTTTTAGAAAGACAAAATCCAAGCCCATACATCCAAAAAGGGAAAAACGGAGAAATGTTTGAACACACCCAGGACACTTCTGGAAGGTTCCAGGCTGGCATGGTGGGGAGACGGCCTACCTACTGCGCCAGTCCGTTTTCGCACAGGCCCTCGCCTCCCGCCTCGCGGTCCTGCTCACGATTCGGTCTGTTGCCGCAGGCCGCGCCCGGATTTCCCCGCAGCAAGGGGAGGCGTAACCCAGAGTCGCCCAGCGGGTGGTGCGGGAGCCAGGGGTCCGCGCTCGCCCCTACGGCCCAAAGGCGGCGGCCACGAGGCGCCGGGGAGCACTCTGGGGCGCCCGACGGGACTCTTCCCCCGCTCAAGACGCCTTCGCAATCCGTTGGCGCACACTTCTCATCCCAGCACAGTGGGAGACCGAGGCAGGAGGATCGCTTGAGCGCAGGAGCTCGAGACCAGCCTGGGAAACGTAGCAAGCCCTCGTCTCTATTTTTATTTTTTTCTTTTAAAGATGTAGGGCACAATTCAGGGTTCGTCTCTATTTTTTAAAAAGAGCGAGAGAGAGCGGTATCGCCAGGCTACGCTCCGAGGCTCACGGAAAGCGGGAGTACCCAGGAAGCGCAGACGATGCCTCACGGAGCGACTCACAGCAGCAGTGGCGACGAACAGCATAGGCCAAACCACTCCCACTCGATGCCTGGGATCAGAACCCCGCACTTTTCCGGAAGTGACGCCCGACAACTCGGTTCCCGCCCCTTACTTCCGGCCCCGAGCCTCGCGCGCGCGTGCGCACTAGGAACCGGCCTGCGGGCTCTGCATGCGCGTCTGCACGCGGTCAGAGCGGAATGGAGGACTTGGCCTCTATCCCGCCGGCATCCTCAGATGCCCCTGCAACTTCCACCTCGACTCCGGATGCCCCGACCACCCTGGGGCAGCTGAACCAAGAGCAGGTGAATGTCCCCTGGGGAGGGTGGTGTGGAAGCGGGGTGGCGGTGACCTTGTGAGGCGCGGTGGTCCCTGGTGAGCCACGCGCGGGCTCCGCGCCTCCCGACACCCTCCCGAGCTTTGGGAGGGTCGCTTGCGGACCCTGCCCCCAGCGGACCAGCCCGAAGCCACAGTCCTGGCTTTCTTGAATTGGGTTGCAAGGATAACGGGGTTTGGGGCGAAATCGACTTGGCCTTCCTTCCCCTCCGCTTGGCCTTGGCCAAGTCCCTTGATTTTCATTCCTGTTTTTCCCTTAAAATGGGCCCTTCCGCTTTTCAGGATCAGAAGAACTAATTATGTAAGGGCTCTGGCCAGCCCTGGCACAGAATAAGGACTCAGTAGACACTAGGTGCCAGTCGTTGCGCGCTGTTCCCGGGACTGCCACCTTCCCGTGGCAGGCGGAGGAAGCCTGTTTCCATCCGCCGGGTCCTCTTACTAGAAGAGGCGCCTTCTGTAGACAATGCTGGGACTGGGTCCTCAGGCATTTTGGATGGATTCTTACATTCCCCTGAGTATGCACTGCCGATTCCTAAGAGGTACAGTTATGGATATGGCCTCTTAAAATAGAAGTTAGAACACAAAAGAGAAATGTGTGGGGAGGGGGCAAATCTTAAATGAAAATGAGGACGTTTAATTATTTGTATGTTTCCACTTTGCAGATTAGAAAGGCCTTAGAAGCTCTGTTAACACATTCCAAATCCAGGAAGAACGATAATGGACTGCTTCTAAATGAGAATGATAATGTGTTTTTAATGGTGGTCTTATGGAAAATCCCAAGCAAGGAACTGAGGGTCAGGATGTAAGTTCTTATTTTCTGTATTTGATTTTTTTTTTTTTGAGTTGGAGTCCTACTCTGTTGCCCAGGCTGGAGTGCAGTGGCATGCTCACAGCTTCCCCAGCCTCCGCCTGCTGGGCTCAGGCCTTCCAAGTAGCTAGAACCACAGACACATGCCACCATGCTCAGCTAATTTTTAATTTTATTTTATTGTAGAGACAGGTCTTGCCATGTTGCTCAGGCTGGTCTCGAACCCCTGGGCTCAGGCAATCCTCTTGCCTCAGCCTCACAAAGTGCTGGGATTACAAGCTTTAGCCACCGCATCTAGCCTGTCTTGGGTATTTTTATATGCTTGTTCATTCTTTGTAATGCTAACAAATTGTACCTTGGTTTCTAATGGAAATTTTGCAAACTCAAAGTAAAAATCTAAGATGAAATAAAACAACTCCCCGAAAGAACCATAGGGCAAAGTGCAATGGCTCATACCTGTATTCTCAACACTTGGGGAGGCCAAGGCAGTAGGATCGCTTGAGATCAGGAGTTTGAGACCAGCCTGGGCATCAAAGCAAGACTCCTTCTCTATAAAAATTTAAAAATTAGCTGAATGTGGAAGTGTGTACCTATAGCCCCAACAACTCAGGAGGCTGAGACAAAAGGATTGCTTGAGCCCAGGAGTTCAGGGATGACAGAGCAAGACCCTGTCTCAAACAAACAAAAAGAACAAATAGGAATTCATTTGTGCTACATTTTTCTAGAAATTTCACCAGTTTTCTGAAGGCTTGATGGACAACAGAATCAGGTCTGTTGAATCAAAAACCTAGTGTTTGAGAGAACAAAAGTGGAATAAATGAAACAGCTTTTGTTTTTTTACTAGAATCTGTTACATCTCCGTGTGAAGCTAAAATTCCTGAGACCTCAGACTTATTTATACAGATACTTGTCAGTGAACTCTTTTCTGTGGAAAAGAAACCTGTTCTTATTCTTAGCAGAGTAAGAATTCTTATTGTTAGGAGTCTTAGGTCACAGATGCCCTCTGTAGAGTTGCCAAATTTAGCAAATAGTTTTTCAAATAAGTGAGTACCAGCAATATTTGTTTTTTTGTGTTTTTTTTTTTTTTTGAGTTGGAGTCTTACTTTGTTGCCCAGGCTGGAGTGCAGTGACGTGATCATAGCTCACTGTAGCCTTGAACTCTTGTGCTCAAGGATTCTCCCACCTCAGCCTCCCAAAGTGCGGGATTACAGGCTGAGCCACCGAGCCTGGCTACCAGCAATATTTGTGACCTACTTACACTGAAAAAAGATTTGATGCTGGGCACAGTGACTCACACCTGTAATTCCAGCACTTTGGGAGGCAGAGGTGAGGATTGCCTGAGCCCAGCAGTTCAAGAATCAGCCTAGGCAATATGACAAGACCTCATGTCTACAAAAAAAAATTTTTAAATTAGCTGGGCGTGGAGGCATGTGCCTGTATTTCCAGCTACTTGGAAGGCTGAGGCAGAAGGATGGCTTGAGCCCAGCAGGTTGAGGCTGCGTTGTCCATGATGGTGCTACAGTACTCCAGCCTGGGTGACAGAGTGAGACTTAAACTCAAAAAAAAAAAGATTTATGTTTGAAACTCAAAAATAGCTGAGTGTCTGCCAGTTGCTTGATCTTGATTTCCTAAGCATCAAAATGCCGGTTCTGCTTTAGCAGATGGTGTATACGCTGGGCGCAGTGGCTCAAGCCTGTAATCCTTCCACTTTGGGAGTCAGAGGTGAGAGAATTGCCTGGACCCAGGGTTCAAGACCAGCCTGGGCAACTTGGCAAGGCCTCGTCTCTACAATAAACCAAAAAATTAGCCAGGCATGGTGACACATGCCTGTAGCTCCAGCTACTTGGAAGGCTAAGGTGGAAGGATCACCTGAGCCCAGCAGGTCGAGGCTGTGGTGGCCGTGAGCATGCCACTGCACTCCAGGA